GCACCTGAAAGAAGAAAAAAAATCTCACTTCTTAGTACTAGTTTTCAAGTATCTTAATTTAATAAGGTATCTGTAGATACCACATAATGAAAAAAAAGGATACAATTTAGCTGCCATCCTCACAAGCCACCCTCCTTGGCTCAGGCATAGGAACACAGAGGACTTAGTTTGGACTGTCCTCCCCAAATACTTTGCACTACCCTAACATTTCAGACAAAAGTTCAAGGACATAGTCTTCCTGCCCCACTATCTTCTTAGGGCTAATGGTTAGCTGAAGGATGCTAACTGGTAAGGCACAATAAGAATATTTTCTGTTAAAACTGGCAAAGAATAGAGGTGAGGGATAGGAAAAGAAATAGAAATGGGAGGAGAGGAGCAAATTCCATCTGCTACCTAACTATGTACCTCCTTGGAGGCATGTCTTTCTGCCTTTTGACCTTCCACTCACCTTGATCAACAAAATGTGTTATGGGATACCAATGAGAAGTACTTTTTCATTGTAACAATAATTCATAATGTTTATAGAGCAATTCTTCCAAAATTGCAAGCAGAGATATGACACTAAGATGGCTCCACCAGATCTTGTTACCAAAAGCAAAACCAATGAAACAACATCTGTCTCTTCCAGAGCATTCAATTCCCAATTCAATTCCATTTACTCCATCCTTAGAGTGGCGGACCCGCAGGGCACTTTTCATCTAATAGTGTTTCTATGGCAACGCAATTCTCAACCTGGAAGATTCTACAACCCCTCACTTATCCACACTGAGAAGAAAGTCTTATAAATCAGAAACTGAGACATAAATTTTGCTACAGCAAAAAAATAAAAAATAAAAAAATTACAGGCTAAAAGTTGAAAGAAAGCAAACAAACTCAAAGAGCAAAATGTGTATATAACTTAGAAATGAAGTTTGTCTCTATAGCACCCAATGGAATCCTCAAGATCAGTCAAAGGATGGGGAATCCAAGAGAATGTGAATGAAAGTCAAATATGCCACCCCCTGTCTGATTTCTTCACATGAATCTACAGGTATGCATTTTGACAACTTCCACTTTCCCTAACTCTCCGGAACAAAATAGCTCCATACAGGAAAATATGTCACTGCATATTTTAAATAAATAAGAATCATATTAACTGCTTTTCTACTTAGATTTTATTTAAGATTGCAGTATTTTAGGTGTGTGTGTATGCAACATGCTAGGGTAGAAAAACAGACAAAAGACCCTTGATTTTTTTTTTTTACCTTAAACATTGTATTTATTCCTTCCCCTCATTTTTACTAGCCCTTAGGCATGTATCTTTGTAATGCTATGTAGCAAGATAACCAGTAATATGCAAAACACATCCTGCTTAAACATTATGACATAGTAGGTTATATTTACAGTTGGAATAATACCCTTAAGGAAGGAAAAATATCTTGACGTGGTATATGCCCCTGAACTGATCGTGACTATATAGTGACTCACAGCCAAATATTAAGTACTTTCTAATCGTTTGCAGTGATTTGTCTTCAGGCAAATGCAAGCATTTCTAAAATACATACTTTCATCTTCTTTTGAATTCTCTCTCATTATCTAAATAATGTTAGTCACTCTTTTCAATTCCAGGCAATTTTTTTTTTTTTTTTTTAGGAGACCTCTAGTTATCAAAACTAGCTAACTGGAAATTCACATCACTAAAATTTCCTTTTACCCCATCAACACCAAAGTTTAAAACCTGTTTCCTTTTTCTTTTATTGTCTTCATAATACACAAGTATGTCCAGTTTAGCTTGCTAGAGACTGTGAGTCCAAGAATGAAGCTTTAGTTCTCTCCTTGGAGTAGTAAAATGTGCTACTGATTAAAACTACCTGCAGCCAACTACAGAAAGGCACATTTTTCTTATGCAGCTGGGGTGCAAATCCAGAAAGTTTTTTTTTTTTTTTTTTAATTCAGAGCTTTTCTACTCCCCTTAACAAACAAATGCTGAAAGCCCTTTCAAAGGCAGATTTTTTTTTAACTGAATACACTCAATGAAAAGATTGACCCATTTATTTTAAAAAGAAAAAAACAAAACAAAACAGCAATTTGCTTTCCAAAAGGTGTATGAGGTTTTATAATATGCTTTTTGATATTTAAAAGATTAGTTTTTACAATTTGCTAATAAACTGCGATTGCTATTGTTTTAATTAGCCAGAGTTCAATTACTCTCTTATATTTAGCAAGACTTCAGAAAGAATCTCCTGGTTAAATTGCATTAATCATATAGAAGAATGTGATCCTCTACAATTTGTACCCAGTCTTTCAATTGAATTATGCCTCTCTAAAAACCTTCCAGAATCTGAAATAAATTTGCTAAAGAATTAACACTAAGATAACAGTAGTTACTTACATTTGGACAAATAATAATAAAACTCTCTTTATAGGTTTTTTTCATATCACTTATTATAATCAGCTCTTGACTATAAATGTTACCTAAATAGTTTGTGCATTCCTTCAAGTATAAGGCGACAAGGAGAAGGCTATTCCTAACTGGAGATCAATCTACTCCAGCAATTGGAGAAGAGGAATGGAGGGGGATCTTTCTCACTGGGCTAAGGAAAGAGGGAGAAAATGTAAATATATCTTCTCAGTTTTCTTTTTTAGATGATATTACGAGAGGTTTTACTTTTTAGAGACCATTAGCATTACCAATATTTTGTATGAGTAGATAGCAGTGGAGAGGGGAAGGAGGGTGGAAATGTCCAATGGAAACCAGGAGACAGTGTCTATGAGCATTCCTAGAATGCCAGGGAGACCAGAACAAATGGGTTTCCCTCTTCGGGGTAGTGGTACAGGCCAGCACCGACCCCAGCCTGAAGGAAATTAGCTGGACCTCCACAAAATCAGACAGTTCATGAATAATTTCTATTGCAACTGCCCCAATAATATATGGACCACAAAGAGCATTGCAATGTAGGTAAAGTCATGCTGGCCATTTTAAAAGTGTGTGTGTGTGTGTTTTGTTTTGTTTTGTTTTAAATAACATAGCTCTTGGCAAGGTTCTTCACAAGGATATGACCTAGAAAACCAGGAAATCTGGTGGATTAATAAGAGAAGTTGCTTCTCTCTCCTGATTCTGTCTGAACCAATATTTGATTATATTTTATTCAGGGGCACCTCAGCTTCAAGGGAAGCCAAAACTCCTTTGCAGATTGAAATAGAGGCTGATGAAGTCTATCTTTTTTTTGCTGTTAGTACAGGAAACAGAAAGGGTTTGGCTGTGACTTCAGGATCAACCTGATTTTGTCCTCTCTCCCCACTCATCCAGAGGTTAGTCGGTTAGCTCTAGTGGTGAAACACCAACGTGGCTGCATCAGCACTTTTGCCCAATTGTCACTTCTTATCTCTTACTGACTTAAGTTGCCAGACTATTTTTCATGCTATGCCCTCTAGACCCTAGCCCTTCCCTCCCGGCTTTGGTGGTGGTCAATAATCCTCAACAGCAAACTGTCAAAAGGCAGATCTCAAACCATCCACATAAATGCAACAAGTGGCAGGCAAGTAATGGTACCCAAATCAGGTTTTAGGTCAACCTAATATGATGTTAAAATCAGCTAAACCATCTACATCTTCAACTCACTACCAGTATTCTCAAAGCTGATTCCAAAACTGTCAACATAGTCTAGTTACTGTTTGGAATCATACAGGGAAGAAGAAAAGGAAAGAAACTATTTTTCAGTTAGTCCTGCTGCTCTCAATTTTATTTTATTTAAGGATGCTGTAAATTGGGATTAACTTATAGCCTTGAGTGTTATTGAAGGCACATTCTCTATCCAGATGAGCCGAACCAGCACGGCTTCCCACATCCCCTGTTTGTCTCCCTATATCAGTATAAGTCACTGAGGAACACAGCTTTGAAAGTGGGCAAGGATGTGAGGGTCAACAGGTCTGGACACGTTAGTGACAATGGAGAATTAACTTTGATACTGAAGAAAGACAAATGACTTTAAGAAAGGCAAACTAACCTAAAAACAGTAACAAAAGGTCTGCTCCTAATATTAAAAAAAAAAAAATTTAACATTCATTCATTTTAGGCTAGTCTGTACTATGACTTGCCTAAATTCACCCTTTGTCCATACTATTGAAAATCCCCCAGGTCAACAAGTTTTTGATTTTCAATGTTACTTTATCCATAAATTTTCATGTCATCTTCTTCCTTAGATGTCCTTAAATAAGTATGCACTTCCAAAAATATCCACCAAAATATTATGATTATAAGTGTTTTCAACATGAAATCCATTCAGAACAATAACCAAACAAAACAAACCCCTCAGTAGCATAAAGCCCCAAATCTCCAGTTTCTCACATCTCCAGGAGAATTCCTGCAGTGAAAACAGCAATACTCACACAGACAATATAAACTGTTAACTCGGCTTCAAAAGTCACTAGGGACTACACAGGAAGGACTGACTCTGTATTGCTGTTTCCCTTTTCAGTTCTAAACGCAGGGACAACTTTCACTGTGCAGCTCTGACTCGGATGAACATCTTGTAATGGCAGCCAGTACGTTCAAACCACTTAAAAGCAAATTATGTGAGCATCCTGCCATTGCTCAAGATTTAAATTTCTGCAGACCAGTCACCATAAAGGTCCACTGTAAAGCATTGGAAGAAATTAAGTCCTTCTCTTTGGGGTTTGTCTGACTTTGTTCTTAGTGGGATCTGGTTCCTGGTACTTAAGAGTCACGCTGAGAAAAGCAACATCATTAACATACATACTTCACATTACAAGTGCTCATGATCTCCTAAACCTTATAACTTACAAAAGTGAGCAAAATTGAAATAGCAAACTTCAAATAAAACTCCTAATTTGGGGTATGGATCAACCCCAAGTGCTAACACTTTTGTAAGAACTGTGGGCACACAGTGATTTATGAAATATTCCAAGTCCAGAGGGATCATTCTTCCCCATTTTTTTTTCTATCAAAACTGGTTCATTGTCCATATTTAGTTTACATATGTCATTTAGAATCCACTTACTGTTAGATGCTGGAACAGCCACGCCCTCATGATATTTGTGGCTACTTTGGGAAAGATGCCACGCTTTTTGTGACGCTTTTTGTCCTTATCTGGATCATCATCGTCACCTGTGCTGGGGGAAGCTACACTGTTGTCCAAGCCATCACCTGCAAACATAGTGAATCAAATTTTGACTGATGCTACCTTGACATGCTTTATTCAAATAGAATGCCTTTGGATATAAACAAAACCAAAAGAGCAATATCAGTGATTCATAGTTTATTTGGTACTGTTTTCTTTTTTTTTTTTTTTTTTAATCAAGACAGAAAGACCAATGCCTAGGCTCGAAAGTAGTCAGGTCTAAGGAACTTCTTCCAAGGAACAGTGGGAAAGGTTAAAGGGAATGGAGGGGAATACCCATCTCCTTAGTAGCTTTGTTGCTATGATAACTACTCACATGTGGATAGTGGAGACATGTTAAGTATAACTTCTACTGGGGAGTTAAATATGCTGGAAGCCATGAATAGAGGTGCTGCCCCTGTCTGAGTATCCAAATCCCACATAAAGTCACTGACGTCAACTTATGAGAAGATGCATTTAAGATCTCAACTATTTCCGCAAGTGATCTATCTTAAGACTAAAGTAGGCTGTGGAAATGTAGGTAATCCATCATATAAGCAGTTTGACATAGGAATGCTTCAAATAGAATATAATTTTTCTTGTCATAGAAAGAGAGCCTCAAGTATAGTAAGGGGAAAACTCTTGAAATCGTTTTATTGGAAAACAATGACTTGAAATCAACTAAGTGATGTTAAATTAACAGTCCATCGGGACTGTATTCCTCTAATAACCCAGGCAGTTTCTTAAATTTCTTCTAGATTTAAATTTTTCTCACTGAAAAGTCACCTGCTTACACAATCCTGCACACTGGATCCTATTTTTTCCATTGATTTTTGTCACAACATTTAAGTTGTTTCTTCTAGATAATTTTTGGGGTCTATGACACAAAATCAAAAATGCAGTGTTCCTTTGAAAATGGCATATTGAATAAGAAAAAAAAAAGGTGAAATTTCAGCCTATGTAATAACACTGCCTAAAATACAAGGCAAAAGGTACAAATGGAAAGTAAACACTTGAAGTTTAGGCACAAAAGTTAAAAAGGAAAACAACAGTGGACTGAAGTTACTACCCTAAAAAAAAAAGTAGCTTAGCTTTTGTCAGACTGGTACCCCAGCTCTCTCGGTGGAAGCTACTGGCTTTTAGAGAGGGACAGGTTGATCTTGACCCAGAATGAAGAGCTAGAGAGGCAAGGCTTAGCAACAAGCTAACACACTCCCTGTGTTCACCCATCCACATGGCCCAAAGAACTCTGGCAAATCCATACGGGGAAACTAGCCTCAGATTCCTTTGTATTGCTTCATGAATTTCTGTAGTCTTAGCTTCTTTTATCTAAATTTTACACACAAAAAGAATTCCTTATTTAAAAAGAAAAATTCTACTGAAGTATAATTGATTTACGATGTTGCGTTTAATTTCTGTTATACAGCAAAGTGACTCATTTACACACATATATGTTATTTTTCATGTTTTTTTATATCATTTATCACAGGATATTAAAGAATTCCCTATTTTGATTTAAGCTATTTCAGTCGAATCTAAAGTAGTTAGCCTGTCATTAACGCGTTGTTCTTAACAGAGCTCCCTCAGGAAACTCTCCCCATCCCTCCAAAAAGAAAACTGTCCCCCAAATTACCTTGACTGAGTTGACGATTAAAAACTTTGTTGGGTGAGTAACAGACTGATTTTAACTTTTCTCCTAGGATTACAGCATATGCCACAAATACAAAACTTTTCTGTTGAACTTTTATCAATTTGTTGTTGTTCAGTCACCCCGTCGTGTTTGACTCTCTGTGACCCCATGGACTGCGGCATGCCAGGCCTCCCTGTCCCTCACCATCTTAGAAGTTTCCCCAAGTTAAAACATTTTAACTGATTTTATCAATTTAAAATCCATAATTTAATTTTATTCAAAGTTTTGTTGACAAAAATCATATATTCTGTGAAAAGTCCACAGAACTGTAGCTGTGTTCTCAGTGAAAAAGATCATAAAGATCCACAATGCCCAAGCCTTCATGGTAGAAATGAAGAAAGTACTTGTGAAGCTTCTGGGTGACTCACCCAAGGGGGTTGGGTTGGTGGTCCAGGCAGGGCCAGGCACCCACATCCCTAAACCACCGCTCCTTCCACCTCACAGGATCCTTTATTTGCATAACCAAGTGTTTTATAAGGAGTCCCCTTGGATTTGCCTAATAAATTCTTTGAAAGTCCAATATTTAAAGAGCCTTTTTATTCAGAGAAGCAATTCACCATATAAAATAACAATTCATTAAAGAAACATGAGAAAAGAAAACAACTCAACAGCATTTAAAATTTCAATGGGCTAATCCACTTTCAATATGCAAAAGGTAACCAAGGAAAAGAAACATATTACTAGATCATCGATTAAAAAGCTTCTAACCTAAGGACACAGTTTTTCATCACCTTGCCATGACTGTTTTCCACCTTAAAAAAAAAAAAAAAATAGCCTTTCTCTCTATCTCAAAACCCCTTCAGATTAATTTAACAGGCAATGCCTACTGCCTGCCTCGAAGAGAATTCATTGATAATTTATGGAAATATCTACTATAATCCAGAGGAGATGACTTTTTTCCAGCTTTGTGCATCAATAGATAATCAAGGCCTTAAAGCAGCCTTAGCTTCCCATTACCTCAGGCAAAAGAATTCCTGAAAGCGTGCCTTAAGGGCACCTGAATTATATACTCCATTAGGAGAGGAAGGCTTTCTGCATTCCATGGGTAACACTCACCAGAACCTTTCCTGTTTATTTCTGCTGTGTGAAAGCAGAAGCATTAGGAACAGAATTTTTTAAGTGAAGACTTATGTAGATACAATGGAGAAACCTTTCAAGCAAGAGCCAGATCACCCCCTTCAGTCCCTGGCAGTGACCTCTCTCGAATAAAAGGTTTCTATTACATCATTAGCTCAAGCCAAAAACAGCCTTGGCTTAATGCTCAGTTTGTTCTTCCTACTGTTTTTAGGCAAATACAGCTACTTTACTCCCATCTGGGAGGGAAATTACACTGCTGGGTTGTAATCTAAGACAAGATTTTCATTGGAAGCAAATGCTTTCAATCCAGTGTAAATACTGGTGCATGTTCAGAAAAGCCTAAAACAATAAACCCCGCTCCTTCCTGACACAAGTTAGGGAAATGGAGAGGACGGGGAAGGAGGAGAGCATACTAAAACAGACGATTCTCAAAGCAAACGCTTTCATAGATCTTAATAAATTGTTTAACCTCTTCCACTTTCTAAAACTGGAAAATTGATCTCGGAACGTCTCCACCTCAGAGGAGAGTCTCAATGGTCAATTGTACCTTGCACATTTCCATCCACACTGCAATATGATACAGTCACTTCTCTGCGGTCTCCGGAGGATTTATTTCCTTTTTTTATTTTTAAGATCACTAAACAAACTTGGAGGACCGCCGGCCGACCACACGGCAGCAGGCAGCGGCTCTGAACCACATTTGTAAAATGTCAGCAGTGACTTCATTCCTGGAGCTGACTTCTCCTGCCGCCAAATGAAGGCAAACTGAAAAGGTGGAAATAATCATAAAAATGATGCTAGTCCATAAACAAGCTTACAGCCTCATTAGGATAGCAGTAGGCTCCAGTGGGTGATTTATGCTCGTTTTGCTGATGCTATGAGGAAATGCCATAGGGCGACTTTAGCCAATTGCTAATGGGTTCTGACAGCTTCTTAGCAACTAGTGCAAGCAACGTTGTGGCGTTTGCTAGTGACAGAAACCGAAAATGTCATATTATCTGCCCATGTGTCATGAAGTCCGTGTGGCAATTAACTAGCAGGCCAGTGACTGAGGGGCCAGAGGCTCCTGCAAATGGCCTTTGGCGATGCAGAGGCAGCCCGTGGGCGCTGAGCCGCACACGCACATTCTAATGCAGAAAGCCACTTCCCGGCGACTTCCCTGGCTCTGATGAGACCGGGCCACTCAAATCCCCCCTCGCCCCCTCACTGAAGTGCCACTCCGGGCTCCTCTCTCTTTGGGCACTGGCTCCAGCGCTATCAGAAGACTCCACGGCCATCTGCTTTGATCTGACCGTCTGCACGGCTCCTTAATTGGCACTACCTGGCCCTCTGCTTTTCGGATGCCGGATTCAAAGGTGCCAGCGCCTTTTCCTGCTTGCTCACAAATGAGTCTAAAAGGATTTCAGATCACTGAAGCAGACTCCTGGCCTGTCAGATGGCTGGGAGCAGAGGAACTCTGGGCGGCCACAAAACACTGCCTAAAAAACACCAGGCTTCTAACAAGCTGGGGAGGAATCCTGGCCGCACTTTTCAGGTTGCGAGCTCTCAAAACCATGCACTATATGTCAAACTGTCAAACCTTTCAGCGTGGGCCATTTGCCCTTTCAAATAATATTTAAGAATTGTTTTTACAAAATTTTATAGGCCATGGTCTAGTGAAAGAGGCCAACCAACAAAGAAAGGAATTTGTACTACAATTCGTCTACGGACAATTTCTTGTGAGACCTGGGCCCGTCCCAGCGGAGCAAGGCAGGTGACCTGTGACAGCTCCCAGGCTGTCAGAGAGCTCAGATTTCAAACAGGCTCAACTCAAACATCCCTGGTCGCCTATTTAAGCATGCCCAGGCATTTAGACTGCGCTATCTCGTGCCTTTCAAGGCAGGATAAAGCGGCATTTATCGTATTCAGACCATTCAATGGGTCAGACTGACCGTGTCAGCGGGGGCTCTTTCCTTGGCAGGTCAAAGCCCAACTCCCATTTTTCTTCCCCTCCTAACTCCCTCTCTACCTCCAGGACTGCCACTACCCCAAACCTATTCTGAGGGAGGCAAAAACAAAACACCCAAAAGGGCCTGGTATTTACATCACAAGGGCTGGGCACTTCCCTTGGCAGTGGGCCAGCAGGTAGAAATAAAGTGGGTTGTCAGTCAGAGGGTTCTTTATGTCGTAGAGGCAAAACTCCTAATTAGGGAGATGAACTTTCAACTGCCAGGGCAAAAGAATGCGCAAGGTTGTGGACCCTCTTGTTTTGCTAGAAACCAAGCTGGAAATCACCCCTGC